CTGTCTGTGCAAATAAAAAGGGAGTCTTACAAACACCGAAAATAAATGAATACACAGAAAAGGGGTCTACTAGTTAGGCAAAAAGGCTATAGAAAAAAAAAATAAAGCCTCATTTAGTATACCAGAGGAGATTTATCAAAACAATAACTGCCTGGATATATCACTACACATCTTTCTTGCAGTTTTACTAGATTTTCCTTTTCTCAGTGATGAAAAGAAAATTTTAAAATCATTCATGAACCCTGAAAAAAAAGGCTTAGGAGATTTCTACTTACTACAATGGATGTGATATTTACCCATGAAAACAGTTCACTAGATCAGATGAGGATGGATTTACATTGTCCAAACAAAAGATAATGTGTGACATGTTAAAAATCATAAGTGACAGCCAGATCGGACGTTAAATGGAAATAGTATAATACAAAGTAGTAGAATAATTTCACTCACTTTCCCATCGTCCCTCAGGCTCATGGTCATATCAGGGGGCGACACAGCGTGCAAACGGAGCATCATGGTGGTGTGGAGATGTATTGTCTGTTTTGTCTTTGTTGCTTTAAGTATGAAAGTGATCGTTAGCCACATAAATGCAATTCATGGTCTTACTCAGGATATTTTGGGTTTACTGTGGAATTGATGGTTGTGAGCAAGACTTCAGAGTTTTTAACTCATTCTTTCGCCACATTAAATGGACACCCTCCGTATTTGATGACTGGATGCCCACCAGGGGGTAATTGTATCAAGTTGTGGTTGAGGTAAAGTCCATGCTGTTCGTGCATGTGTTTGTTTGTAATAAACTATATTTTCAACAGATGCTTTATGTTATTCTTAAACCAAGTAACTTGAGGTTGTTACAGAATCTAAAAACAAGTTTTATTTTGATGAGAGCCAGAGCAAGAACTAAAATAACATTCACTCAATTTTAAGATCCCCAGACTAGTTGAGACAAAAAAGACATGTCCATGATCAATTTAAGATTATGCCATGAATGCAAAGATTAAAAACAAGTAAATAACATTTATAACAAGATAATCTATCTAACATATCAAAATCAAGTGCAGAATTATTTGCAGTGTAACCATTGAAGGAATGAAGTTGCCACCGTAGATAGCAACGATGCTTTTGGGAAACGCACCCCGTGTTAGCTGTTCAGCATAAGTTACCATGGCAGTGTACCCTGGTAAGAAGTGAAGTGGAAGTGATAGCAAGATAACAAATTCTTACTACATAAAGCTAAATAAAAATCTCTCACTAAAGCTACTTAAAATTACAAAGATTGCCGAGAACTACTGATTCTTTTCTTATTCAGCATCCAAAAACCTGTTCTCCTTTTACTCTCTCCTCTACTCTGCTCTCCTGTCAAAAAACAATAATCAGATGAATCATCAAATAAAATTAATCGTCAATTAACTAGAATATATTCATTCAACATATATAATCTATAGTGTGTGTGTGTGAGTGTAGGAGCTCACAGAGAGTATTTGTATAAATTAAACTGTTGCAAACAGACGCACCCGGTACCAGGGCAGCCGGGCTGTAGGCGAAATCGCTGAATGAAAATTTGTGGCTGACCCGTTGGAGGGTACCAAATGAAAGGTCTGACCAGCCGGATCGACTGAAACATGCGAGGTCCTTATTGAAACCGAAGGGATTATTACGGCCCAAGCATGAAACGTGTGAGGTCCCTATTGAAACCGAAGGGATTATTAGGGCCCAAGCATGAAACGTGTGAGGTCCCTATTGAAAATGAAGGGATTATTAGGGCCCAAGCATGAAACGTGTGAGGTCCCTATTGAAAATGAAGGGATTATTAGGGCCCAAGCATGAAACGTGTGAGGTCCCTATTGAAAATGAAGGGATTATTAGGGCCCAAGCATGAAACGTGTGAGGTCCCTATTGAAAATGAAGGGATTATTAGGGCCCAAGCATGAAACGTGTGAGGTCCCTATTGAAACCGAAGGGATTATTAGGGCCCAAGCATGAAACGTGTGAGGTCCCTATTGAAAATGAAGGGATTATTAGGGCCCAAGCATGAAACGTGTGAGGTCCTTATTGAAACCGAAGGGATTATTAGGGCCCAAGCATGAAACGTGTGAGGTCCCTATTGAAAATGAAGGGATTATTAGGGCCCAAGCATGAAACGTGTGAGGTCCCTATTGAAAATGAAGGGATTATTAGGGCCCAAGCATGAAACGTGTGAGGTCCCTATTGAAACCGAAGGGATTATTAGGGCCCAAGCATGAAACGTGTGAGGTCCCTATTGAAAATGAAGGGATTATTAGGGCCCAAGCATGAAACGTGTGAGGTCCCTATTGAAAATGAAGGGATTATTAGGGCCCAAGCATGAAACGTGTGAGGTCCCTATTGAAAATGAAGGGATTATTATAAACAGTATAAATACATGAAATATGTGTGTAGACTACCAAGTGGACTAGGAGAAAAATATCTGTACAACAGATCAACAACAATCTTGGAAAATTACTGACCAATCCTAAACACTACCCTCCCTCAGTTACTTATAAATAATAAAACATGATTATTATCAAAACAGTTGCAGACTTTTTTTCTGCAACATGATTAAACAATTAATCAACAAATAGTTTCAGATCTTAGCTGTAGTTGGTGCATTGAGGGAAATGGGCAATGCTTAGGATTTCAATTGTAATTTCCCATACTTAGACAAATCTGTGGGCTTAACAGGTGTTAACCTGATGAAGGTTGTTCCCCCTTTCTTCTGTTCCAACCTTCACTCTTCCTAATGAAAACAAAAATGCATGCACAAGCAAAAAAGTAAGAATTCACATCCAAAAGGCAATAAGAGAAAACCAACAGACATGCCTAAACCCTATCATTAAAGGTTAGGTGAACTGGTACCTTACCTTACCTTGAAGTAATACAGTAATAACTTTCATAAGAAGAGAACAGAGAAACTTCATTTTTTTACACACCATAGATCTTAAACTTGTGGTGTCCTAAGAATTTGGGACACCTTACTACAATATAACTGCATTTTGCATTGCTGAAAATAACTGAACTGCCTATTCTTTATTTTAACAGGCATGCTACTTAGATGAGTACTTTTTAGTTTTAGGTTTCTATTACTCTTTGTAGCCATAGTTAAAATAATTACATTAATACCATACCCTTCCTCTTCCACAACCTCCATGTGCAGTATAAGTCAAGGTACACAGTGTTAGAAGAGGAATGGGGTCCCAGGGACACCTCCATCCAGGGACAAGTATCAAGTCATGCATTTTTCCCATAGAAAGTGCATTAAGAAGAAACTCAGGACATACCACAGTTTATATTAGACCACAGCATTCTTAGGTGAGCAAAAGTAATGGAACAAATAATCTTAAAGTAAGTACCATTTAATATTTGGTGGCATAACCCTCGCTTGCAATAACTGCCTCAAGCCTGCGACCCATCGACATCACCAAACTGTTGCATTCCTCATTTGTGATGCTATTCCAGGCTTTTACTGCAGCTTCTTTCACTTCTTGTTTGTTTCGGGATGTTTCTCCTTTCAGTCTCCTCTTAAGGAGGTGAAATGCAGCTCTATTGGGTTAAGTTCAGGTCATGCAAATTCAATATGGATCATTTGTCGTGGTGGACACACGGATTCAACAACATCACACAATGGGCGGTGGTAATTATTGTTTTCTAGTTTACAAAACGTCCCTTTATCATTCATTATAGTGTATTAGTTCCGATTTTTTGTTGTCTAAATAACATTGAATTGTTTGTGATATAACTGTCATTTTATAGATGAAGCAGGCCAGTTTTAAAGAATGGCTCAAGGCGGCGTTAAATAGATTGTTCCTGTAGTGGCGATCGTACCACCAAAAAAGCCACTTGAGGGAATTTGATGTTGTCTCCAACGCATAATGGTGGGAAAAATCAGGTCTGCCATGGCGGACACTTTATTTTGTGCTGAATAAAATTACTTGCACAACACTGCTGCTTGCATTACTGATGTAAACTGAGTAAAACACAAAAAACAGTAAACACAATGCTAACGGAAGGACATGACAAAATCCATCACCAAGATACACACAGCTGAATAGCTACAACAGTTCCTTTTACGTTTTTAAACCCTTTACGATATTTTCTTCTTTTAAATGTAGGCTATTTTCTGTCATAGCAGCAAATATTATTAGTAAAAATAATTATGAATCAGAAGACTTTCAGTCGTTACCACGGCAATGATACCTGACTACAGTAAGTATCTAAACCCGAGGGGTGTTTGTTTGTTAAAAAGCACGCGAAACCTTTGCTCTTATTTCTTTTGTAATTGTAGCCCAATCTCTGCAGCATTTCATCCCTGGAGATAAGGTTTAATTTGTTAGTGTTGCATTATACGGCTACCAGCTGAAGTTGCAGTTTGCAGGTTTGTATGTTTGTGTGTCTCACACTAAGGAATGCATCTGATCCACTGCCCCATCATCAACCCTTATCCAAAGTTTCTTGAGAGAGATATGTCAAAGAAGGTAAATGTTACCTTCTTCTGTATGGATGTTACATGCAGGTAATCCTCATTGTCATATTGCAAACCCAACCCCATGATTTAAAGTACAAGGGTCTCCAGGATCTAAGTAAAATTTTCATTTTAGATGTCAATTAAAAATGGATCTTTGTTACACTCACATGATGCTGCTCCTGCTTTTTAGGTACTGGCCCTACCTTAACAAAGTAGCAGAGGGGTTACCAGAGCTTCTGCCATTGACAGAAATGAGGGCATTCCGTAGCGTCATGCATGCCAAAGCCCATACAGCAAAACGCAAGGTATATGCAATAATTTTAAATCTGATGTGGTTGTAGCTTTGGGGAAATAATAGGTCAGATGAGTTGGTATCATGAGATGTTTTAGAGATGATTGTATGTATTAAAGTAGCAATCTTCAATGCAAATGATTTCTTTTTACATTTGTGCATGTCATGCCTGATTGGATAATGTTATGTCAAAACTTCTGAAGAACTGCTACATTAACACAGACTGCAGCAGTCATGGAGGTGGAGGGCACTACAGAGCCAGCCTTTGTGGACATGGACCAGGGTCTGACTCTGGCCTGCATCGCCTTCCTCTGCCTGCTGCTGGTGGCCATGATCATCCGCTGTGCGAAGGTCATCATGGACCCCTACAGCGCGATCCCCACCTCCACATGGGAGGAACAGCACCTGGATGACTGACACACTCAAACATACACATGAATATACACATGAATATACACATGAATATACACATGAATATACACATGAATATATACACATGAATATACACATGAATATACATGTCTTCCTGAAACCACACATGACCAACCAGCAAAGGCTCCACATAGAAAAAGAATTCTTCATGGGTTCTGCTGTAAGGCTTCTATATGAAACAATTTGAAAATTAAAAAAAGTATAAAAAAATTAAATATTTTCTTTTAATAGTAGCACTTTAGAACATTTAAGTTATTCTAAAAAGATGAAGACACACTTCAGAGTCTCTTTAAATGTCTCAGGAATATCTTTAGTTTGAATGTACATTCTAAAATGGTTCTATATTACAAGGCAGAAGAACCATCCTGATACTATCTGAAATAGTTTTTAATTCTCGATTATTTTCTGAAATGGCTCTGTAGTACCACAAATCATTCTGCTGTGGTAAAGGTAAAAAAAACTTCTCTATGGTACAGATCAGAGTAGAGAAATACAAACAAGGCAACCAGGCAAGAACATATACTGTAAGATGTATACTGGGAGGATGAAATGAAAAGATTGCTTTATCCACACATTGAGCGACTAAGAGGAGCTGCAGGGATTCTGTTTGTGGACAAAGCCAGTGATGGAGTGAGATCGCAATTTCCCTTTAAATCTGTACAGGCTGGAATGCCAAACAGAAGATGAACATGAAGAGAACTTGTAAAATTCTGTGAAATACAAGCATGCTTTGCTTTTACACACATTTGGAAAATGGAACAGAAAATATGAGAGGTGCATGGTACATGGGTTGTCATAGTTTCGGTAATCATTCTGCTTGGTAGTATTGGCATGCTCACCAAGTGATGCGCTGGGATCTGAGGAATCACATGACGAATCACAAATAAAGCATAATCAAATCACCCAAACTGTCTTTTAGATTGTTTGTCAGCACTTGGTCTCACACATAGTCAATTTGTTTAAAAAGTACAAACTATTGACATGTTAGGTAGACCTCTAACATAAAGTTTGTCTATATAGCTGTTACATAGGTGCTCAATAATTGCTCATTAAAACATGTGAATGTAACCAACCAAGTGTATTGTCTTATCCACAAATGCAATTCAAATGTATGGTGTACATCAACACACATTTTCTTTTATGTGGCTGTGCTGTAGGAGGAACTGGATCCCTCTACATCACAGAGTACGGTCTAGACCTGCTCTTTTATGAAAAGCGCTGTGAGATAACTGTTGTTGTGATTTGGCGCTATATAAATAAAATTGAATTGAAAAATTGAATTGAGTTGGATAGCTTACTTCCACACCTTCATCTGTTAATTACAGGGAAACATTAAAAATATGTACAAATGATTAAAAATGTGCAAACTGTTGCATCCTTGTCAACCACATAAGCAATAAAATAAGACAGTTTATAAGGACTGGCCTTTATTTGTCAAAATGTATTTCCATGAAGGTTTGCGATTAAAACTTTCTTTCAGGGACTGAAGGCAATACACTTATCACTTGATATATAAACTACACATTATGGGTATATTCTAGGATAACCAGGTTCTGCTATTAGCAAGCTATTGCATGTATTTCAATCTGCTAAATGACTTGTACAGGCAGTTTGGAATAAGCTGTACTGTAGCGTCAGTTTGTGACGGTAAAGGCAGGTATACGATACATCACAGAAAAGACTGAGTAAGGACGTGGTTGGAGTGAATGGAGGGCCAGAACCCGGACTTTGAACCAGGAGAATGGTGTTTGTTTACAGTGTGAAAAAAAATTATACTGTTTATTAAAAACTAGTTATTTTATTTTATAGCCTATAGGCTAAGGATATTTCTTCTTCAGTCGCATTATGATGTAGAAGTGAGCACTACAGGCCTATTATAGCCACATATGAAAAAGAAATATGAGAATATACTTATTTTGCAAGATTGCGTCAAGCTGGAGGAGCCACTCAATCACTCAAGATTCTCCCATTTCTAGATTAAGTACATCAGCATCAAGGAAGCATTTTGTTTTGGGCTGATTTGAAGCAGCTGGTTACCTGAGCAGAAAGAAAATACTCTAAAATGGGTTTTTTTCTCGCGGCTACGACCAGGGTGAGCCACTACGGGGGAGCCGGGGGGAGCTGTACTCCTCTTAATTAGACATGAGCTTCCCTGAAAAAAAGATTTGTAATATTTTGGGGGGTCTCTAATCGACAATATGCTATTTTTGCCAATCATTTCTATTTGTCTGTATGATCCATGGCGATACACATGCATAAATCAGTAGCGGGTTTCATCCAGCCAGAGAGATCACCGACCGCAGCACACCAGGTCGCTCTGCAACCTCCTCTCTTTCGCACTGGAGGCTCTCCAGTGCCCGCTCTCTCTCCGGCGTTACTTGTGTTGACAGTGGAGCCGGCGCACTGGACAGTCAGTGGTCTCAGAAAATCTCAGAAAATAAAGGTAAGGTTGAAACAGTAGAAAGGTTGAACGAAAATTACCCGAAACTTTTATCTGTGTATAATTCGTTAATATAGGCCTACAGCTCACCGAAATAATTAACAGTTCATATTTGCTGTGCACCATTGGATGTATCTGACTTAATTTTAAACTGAAGAACTCTTAAAAGCAGAGAATTCTCAGGAAAGATTCCTGTTCCAGTTGCTAGTGAGTTACAAACTGAACTTTGAGCCAATAGCAGCCTCCAGTACTGCAGCTGTTTTTTTGGATTCAAAAGCATCAAACACGGGACTTTTTTATTCATTTATAAAAGACAGAACATTCTTACCTTGTATAACAACATCATACCTGTATTGACATGTATTGGATGTCTCTGTGAACTGGCAACGGGTGCCAAAACCTCAGACACCCAAGCAAGGCACTGAAAATTAATCCTCAAAAAAACAAGGTTTTAATCTTTCAAAAACATTCCAGGCTACAGGGAAACACCGACAATTTTAGATTGGCAACATCAAAATTGAACCAACATCTACACTTACTTAGACATAACTGTCAGTACAACAGAAAACTTTGGCTTGGCTGTGAAGGAAAGAAAAGGCAAGAGGATCATTTTATGCCATAAAAAGATCATTCCAATTAGAGCTACCAATTGAAACGTGGGTTATTATTTACATCAATTATTGAGCCCACTGCAATTTATGTCTGTGAGGTGTGGGGTCCATTCACAAAATGCGACTTTACAAATTGGAACAAACACCCAACTGAAGTCCTGCATGCAGAATTCTGCAAGAGTATCCTCTGGGTCCAGAGGAAAACACCACAAAAACACCCAACAACGCCTGCAGGGCGGAATTAGGACAATACCCTCTAATTATTAAAAAAAAAGAGCACTATAATTTCTGGCAACAAGTAAAAATGAGTGACCCCCGCTCACTCCACTATAAAGCTCTGAAAATCCAAGAGCTGAATCTAGGAAGGAGCCCACTGAACCAGTGATGTAACACCAGCTTACATCACAGAGGCTCAAGACAGCAACACACTGGCCAGAACCACCCGACCCGATAAAATTACAGCCACTGAAAAGGAAATAACCTACTGGAAAGAAGTCACTAAAACACAACACAAATTACAATGCTATTCTGACAACATGACTATACAACAGCTACTTACCTTAGTACAGTAAATGACATAAAACTCAGTAAATCCCTTACATCGTACAGACTCAGTGAGCACAGCCTTGCCATCGAAAAAGGCCTGCACAGGCAAACCTGGCTGCCCAGAGAGCTCGCACTGCAGTCTAGGGGATGTAGACTGAGCTGCACTTCCTAACCGAACTTGACAAAGTCTGAAACCGACCTGATATTTTGATTTGTTATTCAATAAATATATGTTTGTCAGCGAAGCTGTGCTCAAACCTTATTTATTTATTGTCCGTTATAATCTTCAACTTTATTTATTAATTACTTCTCTTTTAAATGTATTTATTTATGTGTGTGCTTGATTATTTTTGTCTGTTATTCTGCCTTTGCATTTCTACCCTATTTATTTCTTCAGTGCTATTTATTTCTGCCTATCCTTATCACATTTCAGATGAGGAGGGCCTTATGTTTCAAGGGGTCAACTTATCCCCTATTGGTCGACCAGTCAAACGGTGGAGCTCGACTCTAGCTGCACACTTCAACAAGCTTGCTCCTCACACAGTCAGATGGCTTCCTTCAGTGAACTGAATGTTTAGCAACTCTATTTAAAGACAATACTACCAGCCATGTCAAATGAAACAAAGGAGATAACCCAAAAACAACAAGGCATGTATTCATCCTTACAACAGCACACAAATTTTGTTTACACACACACAGAGCTATAGTTTTAACACTGTGAACTTAGCTTTAGCTGTCTATTTGGAATATATTGGTGTATGTTTTGTAACACAGTTTTCACATACATCTGCATCAAATCTGCCTCTACAGTGCACTCTCACTTGGGCATGAGTGCTCAGTCTATTTTCTTTCTGACACCCTTAGAGGTGGTGCAACAAGCTGTTTTCATTAACTAGAACCTATGAATTCTTCATTGTTTTTTTTGTGCCCATCCTCGTCCTTGAGGATCTTTTGTAAATATGCAGATAAATCTATCTGTGCTACAAAATGTCATTGCTATGAATGTTTTTGTGATTGTTTGATTGAAATCAACAGCCCCACAGTATGACCACACAAGTGTGGAAGACACCAAAGCTACAAATGAAACTTAGCGCGAGTTCAATCAAGGATCATCATGTTACTAATTCATTCTCATTCCTTTCTATCTATCTCTCCCACTTCACGTAAACTTTAAGTTAAACCAGCCAGATATTGCCAGAATCTCCATTAGCCTGCCCACACGTCCTCTACCACTGCAGGTCACTCCACCACAGACAATTCTCTGATCACCACCTAGCGGTCTCTGGCTAACTTCAAGCAAACCATCGACACATGCTCCCAATCCCTGGAAAATGTTACAGCCTCTGCCCCATCGTAAGCGACCATCGCCGTCACCCAGGCCTCCATGTTGCAGCCAGCTTCCTTGTTCGATCTACCCTCGACATC